TTATATAACATTCAAAAAGAATTTTTTTCTTGATTGAAAAAAGGATACGAAATGCAAAATCCACAATTTTGATAACTGAAAACTTGACAATTGTTTTGCGGTACTTTATTATACTTGGTGTCTTGTCTTTTTTGGGCTTTTAGTTAGCTAATGAATGAATACATTAGACACTTTTGGGTTTTAGTTGTGATTTTACATAGCTTGCATTTTAATTTTTTGGTTGTTTGCTGTTTCTGTTAACCCATAGCATTATTTTAATAAGTGTTATAATACCAGCCTACTAAAAAAAAAAATCCCACATTCTCCAAAGCACTACAGAGATCAGCAAAATGCTGTGGACCCCCGGACTTTCTTTAAAACAAAGGCAGGTCATAAATATATATATATATATTATATATATTTAAATATCCCTGGAGATAATAGAATGCTTGCCTAGTCTATGCAAGGCCCTGAATTTGATCTCTAGCATGAGTGCACACACACATACACACATGCGCACACACACACACACACACACACACATGCACAAAATAGGGAGAGTCTGTTCTTTTAAGGTAAAAGTGATGATTTCAGTAAGTGGGAAATAACTGCCTTTGCAACACAGTTCTGTTGGTAGACAGCACAATGAAAATGGGTGTTTGGAAACTCTGATATTAAATTTTCAGGCCAAAATGATATATATGGTCTAGAAAAAACTCTCATATGCGAGAGATACACATTTTAAACCAATATAAGATTTTTCTGAAAGAGGGGATGATAAAGGAGAAAGAAATATAACTTCCATCCTGCTAGATGTCAGATGTGTTGAGTTTGTGTCCCCTGAAACCGAAGAATGAATTTTGAAGGACAGTGGAGGTTAAGAGTAGGAAAGGTTTATTGAGAGATAGCTCCTGAGAGATAGGAGGGGTTGCAAGTGGGCTGCCACTGAGGCCCTTTGTCAGGGATAATTTATATACCAAAGTCACAATGTGGGTACAACATGGGTCAACCTATAGGCAACCTACAGGATTACAAGTATAGCTTCTTAGCTAATATTGGTCCATTGAGGAAACAGGTCAAGTAGCAAGGACATATGGAAAAAATAAACGGGAAGGAATGGGTCCAGATGCTTTGGTCACCCACCTGGGTGACTGATGTCTAGCTGGACTTCCTGGACCAGATGATACCAATCACAGTTCCATCTCAAGCTATTGTTTATACCTTGGGGAGACATGTAGGCTTGGCCATTGCATCTTTATCTAGAGGCCTGGCCTTCAATGGATGCGCTTCCAGCCACAGTTCTGGTGTGCTCTCGACTTCTGCATGGGCTCTCTCGAGGGCTGTCCCTGTCTGACTGCCTGTTAATTTCCACCTAATTTAGCTGTCTATGGTAGGGTAACAGTGAAGTTTGTCTCTGTTTATTCAAAATACACAAAATGCAGCACCTTGCAATTAGTTTTTAACAAGACCTGATGGACAAGAAAACATGCAACAGTTGAACATCAACAGAAACCTTGTACAGTTGTTGCCTGGGATGGAAGTGTGGGTCCCTCCTGGGGCTCTGTGCCTAAGAGACGCTGCTTCTGCTGCCACAGCCATTAACACCAGCAAACCTAGGGCCAGGCTGCCACACCAGTGGATTGAAAATGTTAAACTAGTGAATATAGTTTAATAATGAAGTACATTAATCACATAGCTCTTGCTAAGTGTGATAATAAGCCTACTATTCCAAAGTTTCTCTACACAATAAATAAAATGAAAATTATTTAAAATACTTCACTAATTCCAAGTTGTTTATCTTTATTAACAGTAGTCCATATTTACATACCATACTGTATGTAGAGAGCTATATATATTTTAGAGTTAGGCTAATTTTTTTACTGTGTGTAAGTATATAGATGAAAGGTTTGGAGCCTCTGGATGTGAGGCAGGTTGAAGTCAATCACTAGACTTTCTGAGGCAGCTGGGGCTCCAGGAAGAGGGGAGGGGTTATTAAAGATTTAGGAGAATACCACTTGTTGGCATTCATTATTTCCCACTATTTAGCACCCACTGCCAGTTCTGACTTCATTGATCCTTTCATATTGTTCATTGTCAGTCTTTCCCTTATTTACTTATTCATTTCAAAAAGGATTCATAAAATCTTAACGTATTCAAAAGTTTGCAGTTCTCAATGAGTCTGTCACATCTTCCCTCCTTTATCTTCTCCACCAACCATGATCATTTTCTTCCTTCAAATGAAAGCCTAGCCCCCTCCCTAGTAAAGATATCTGCAGCTCCCAGCATCTTCTTTACCTTTAGTTCTTAGATTTAATGCCCCTTGCTGTGGTCTGGGACTTAGTCGTGTTACAATGAACAATAGATTCTGTGCAAGAATATTCATATAAATTTTTTTTGGTACTAGGAATTGAACTCAGAACCTTGTACTTGCCAGGCAGGAGTGGTGCCACTGAGCTAAATCCCTGGCCCAAGAATATTCAAATAATTTAAATGCAGTGAACGTATTGATATGAGTCACTCCAAAAATTGTAAACATGGATTAAATGATGAACCCAGCATATAAAAGAGAGGGAACAGCCTGAGAAATTGCACCCATGTCTCCCTTCTCAGTGTCCTAGCAGCCAAGAAAAGAGGGTGGCATGACTTGTCCAGTAGAAAGAGGCATACTATGTAAAAAAGAGAGATAAACTTCTCCTTCACCATGAATTTTTAAAGGAGTTTGTTCCCTAAACAAAATACATTGGGCTAAATGTCTGGAGTAACAAGCTTTACAAAAATAAACCCATATGACTTTCAGAGGAAAAACCATTAGCTCCAAATTTCGGGCATGGAAAAGAAGAAGATGAGACATTGTAGACAGTGTAGATAGACAATGAAGGTTTCTGATGGCCTGGCTTCGTTGAGTTACACGGCTCAAGGGCATCTTCAGAGAAGCCAGGCGTTCAGAACCTCAAGCCAGTGCTCATGAATATTCATTTTTTCAACTGACAAGAGACACATTGAAGACAAAATTGGGGCCATTAGCAGATACTAGAAGGCCAGGGATTCCTTATTATTGAACCAGGAAAGGTCAAATGTACATTGAATGTCAAACATGAAAGGAAAAGGTAATGAATGACCATGAGTCAAAGAGTCCAACTCACATTTCACTAAACCAGAACCCATTTCCACTCCTACGTGGACCTGTGCCATAGGATGACCATAAGCTGGGTTAGGATTTTTTTGTCCAAAACATAGATGTGATTCTGTTCAGATACTTGAACAAGAACTAGGTAGAATCCCTGGGGTTCTGGTTCAGAAAAGATGATTGGCAAACTTTAATGTTTTAGAGTTTCAGAGAACCAAATGCCCGCCACCACCATAGAAGACTCATATAAATATTCCTACATAGGTTTTATTTTGAACAGATTGTGTACCGATGAGCTTTCCAAAATAAAATTAGCTGCAAAATGAGGCCTCAGATACTTAATTAAGAGAACTTGCTCCATATAATTGCCTGGAATTCTTTCTCTGGCTTTGACACTGTGTCTGCTGAAGTTGATAAAGGGAGTTGCGGCATAGCTATTATTTGGATATCTTTTCCAGAGAGTAATCAGTATTTACCCAACAGACATTTATGGGATGCTATCTCTGTGCTCATCAGACTAGGTTAACCAAGGTTAACCAAAGTCTATCCACCTAATCACCAGGCTGTAATTACCAGAGCTTTTCTAATTCTTGAATTTTGCAATTCAAGAAAAGGAATAGGAGAGTTGCTTCACTCATAGGATTGGACCAAGGAAAACCCTTTGCTCATCCATGGTCCCTAGCTTTAAGGGACCCATATGCCCATGGTTTGTTGGACTGAATTCACCTTTGGATGCCTTCCCCCATATGCCTTTTTAAAATTTTTATTTTTTAATACGTATTTGCAGTACATAATGATTACGTTCCTCGAGGGGAGTTGGCACAATGTACATAACATATTTTAATGTTTTTCCCATTCCTTTCCCCTCCTCCCTCCTATGTCTTGGTCCCTTTCCCTTTTGCAAAAGATCTATCTCCCTTTTTCTGTTATCTATCTTTTATTTTCCTCTTTATTTAAGTTTTGGGTTTCTTAGATAAAGAAACCATGTGATATTTGAGTTGTGTGTCTAATTTATTTTATTTAATGTTATGGTCTCAAGTTGTGTTCATTTTCTTACAAATGACTCAAGTTTATGCTTTATGACAGAGTGTACTCCATTGTGTGTGAATACCACATTTTGTTTTTTAGCTATAGTATTATAAATTGTGCTTCCTTATACAATTTGACTATTCCTAGTCCCCAAATTCAAGATCCAAAATACATGGAAACTTTTTGAACACTGATGGGATACCATAAGGGGAAAATTCCATACCTGCCTACTGATGGTTTAATGTACACAAATTTTGTTTAATGCACAGCATTATTCAAAATATTATATAAAACAATTTCAGATCATGTACATAAGGTGATGTAAAATATAAATAAATTGCTGAATAAATGAATCATGGATATGCCAGTTGTCTGGTTCCAGCTTCACTTTTTTTTTCTATTTTTTAATTTTTTTGAGACATAGTCTTACTATGTAGCCCAGGTTAGCTTCAAACTCACAGCAATCCTCCTACTTCAGCCTCCTGAGTGCTGGGATTACAGGCGTGTGCCACTCTGCACAGCTTCTGTCTTCACTTACATGGTTGAAATTGTGTCAGGTAGCATGTCCCAAGCCTTATGCCCTGGGACATCAATATTGGTGCTGATGTGTTCTCATCCCTAGTAATTGTTGGTTCATTTGTTTCTTGCTGGCATTAAATTATTGCTTATTACAGATGAACTATCAACATTTGGGGAATCCTGGGGTTTTTTTTTTCAGAATTTCTTTTCCTCCTCACTTTTCAGGCAGGTCTAACAACTTACTTTCATCCTGGAATAAACTTGAAGAAAATACACTATGACAGCATCAAACTTTATGAGAAACTGGAAGAAGAAACTGGACAGGTAAATGCATTGTTTTTGAACTTGTTTGGCAGTTCAGCCCCTCAGAAACAGGCAAGGATTCTGAAGGGCCTGAGGTATTGTCATATAGTGCCACACGCAGTGACACTGTGAACGTTGCAGAGAAATAGGGCAGGGGTTGAGGTAAAAACCTCTGCCACTTGTTTTTAAATTAACTTAATGTCTTGTCATGTATTATCCATGTAATTAACCATATTTATTTTTTAAATGAAGCAAGATTAAAAAACAGCTTCCAAAAATATCTTTAGCCATTGATTAAATCTAGAAATAAAAAAAAAAAAATCAGAGCCTCCCCACAACTGGAAAGCAAGGTCTGACAATGATGTGTGCCAGCCAGTCATGTGCTTTTACAAGTTCTTCAGGAAAATCCTCTCACTCTTCTCTTTATCCCTTGTACTCCTCAAAATACCCAAAATACAAGGGCAGCAGAGAATTTCTGGAGGCTAAGGTTGACGGCTGTTTTCTTCTCCTGCTGTCTTCTTTCCTGGGAACCCCCATCCCCCATCCCCCACCCCCCTCCTCACCCGCTTGACGAAGGCCAGGTTGCCTGCCTCTCCACCCTCCCCACTGACATGTACTGCAGCTATGCCCAATAGATCTGCAATGTGCTGGGCTTTCCAAGCTACTGTTTTTATTTGTGCTTTATGTATGTATTTATGTATTTTTCTGTTGCTTCCTCTGCCTGAAACAGCATTCCTCCCACCCTTCCAGAGCCCAATGGCACAGCTCTTGGTCCTAAGAACATTTGTGCATACCACCATTACAATGCAAATCTCTCTCTATTGTAATTGTGGCATTCCTGGTTGGTTTCCCTGACAGATCATGATAAATTGAAGGCAAGGACAGCTTATTTTATCTGTGTAACCCAGTGCCTTGCTGAGGTGTGGTGAACTGAAGGAATTCAACAAATGTCAAATGAGTGTTTGCATATTTGATTCATCTCATCGTCATTTGAATCTGCACACTGAATACACCCTATGTTTTTGCCATGCATTCCTCTTTCCTGTAGACAGTCAAGTTCATCAAGGTGGGGTCTTGGTCTTTCCCATTTACTCCTCACATCTCTGGGGCTCAGAATAGTGCAGGGTACAGAGGAGGCACTGAGTTGCTGATGAATGTCTTTTCAGAGACACAAATATTATATGTAGTTAATTATTTCACTGTAGAGTAAGTCACTGTTATACACTTTCATTTTGTGTGTATGCTGGAGATCTGTGTTTAAGTGCCAGATGATAATTGACATATGTGCTTTCTTTGGAATTATTGTCACAGGTGGTGGGATTCCATCAGCCAGGTAGTATCAGAATTGCTACAACTCCTGTAAGGGTAGATGAATTTAAATACCAAATGACACGCACTGGCTGGCAAGCTACAGAACAGTATATTATTGGACCTGAAAAAATTCAAGAGATGTTTCCTTTACTTAACATGGATAAGGTATTTGAGGAACATTTTTACCATTTGTTGAGTTGACTTCAAATTTTTAAAATGTTAAGAAGTTAATTTAAAATAGAAATACTTTGTGCATATGTTTCAAATGGCAAAATTAGATGATTAATGCTGGATTTTTGGAAATTACCAGGTGGGCTGTTATGTATACTAAATGAAATATGAAAAGGTGAAGAAAGGTATTACCAGTTTTTCACCTATGACAACTGAAGAGATGTTTTCTATATCTTTCTGTTACTGTGTCCCTCAGATAAAAAGTTTTCCATTCACAAACCTGTTTGAGAACTGCAGAGAACTGATAACCTGAACCATTGTTCTAGAAAGTTATTATATATTTTTAAAAAGCAACTTAAAATGCTATGTTCCACAAACATCACCTAGCTCATAGCTGTACTTCCCTTATAGACTCTGTTCCAGGCATGGATCTAGACATGCGTCAAATTTTCCTGAGAAAATCTACTTGACAGAGAATGTGGTATTTTTTCCCTTCTCAGTGATCATCCCTTTTGAATAATAATACACTAACACTACCATGCTGAGCCCTTTATATGCATAATTTTATCTAATCTTCATAATAATATAAAGTATATATTATTACTGCACAGGAAACTGAATCTTAGACAGTTTACACAGTGTGCTAATATGTTCAGTTAGGAAGAATTGGAGCACAGATCTGAGGCCAGCCCTCTCTCTCTCCACTGCACTTGTACTGCAGGGCTGTCCAGCGAAACTGGTACTGTGCCACCAGGTGATAACTATTGCAGTATTTCCAGTCACTGTGAGTTTGTATTACTGCTATTGGTGCTGGGCTTGTTGGTCTTGTGAGTCTTTACAGACTCCCTTGCCTACAGTCCCTGTGCAAGCAGTGAGATGGCAGGTTGGCATTAACACTGCACTGTCTGCATTGAAATTTTGACTCCACTCCTAGTAAGGACATGCTTGAATCTGATTATATGTCAGTCCTATGACACTTTGTAGATGTTGTCACCAACAGGATTTTTCCCAAGGCCATTGAGCAATGGAAATCCATGTGAAGAGCATTCTCTGGATCCAGGAAGGATGCCAAATCAAACAGATAAGAGATCACTATAACAAGGACACATCCATTTACAAAATACTCAATATGACATTTCAAAGTCTGTGGGAGTGTGAATTTCACTAAAATTAAAACTCCCTTGCATGTAAGAGGATTAAATTTGTTGTCAAAAAATTTTCCACAAATAAAAGCCCAGACCCACATTACTTCACTGGTTAATTCTACCAAATACTGAAAGAATTAATGCTAAGCTTTTGTAAACTCTCTCAAATATAGAAAAGAATACTTCCCAACTCATTTTATAAAGCCAGTATTGCCCTGATACCAAAACCAAAGATACCACAAGAAAAAAAATATAAATGCAAAAATCCTCAGCAAAATATTAGCAAACTGACTTTAGTAATATATCAAAGGGATTGTACAGCATGACTGTGTGGAATATATCCCAGGAATGCAGGGTTGGTTTAACACCCGAAAGTCAATCAACATAATAACACCACATTAACAGGTTAAAGGACAAAAGCCACACAATCATTGAAATAGCTGTGGAAAAAATATCTTACAAGAGCTCTTTGGGCCAGGATTTAGCTCAGTGGTTTCACTGACTGTTGGGCAAGTGCAAGGACCAGAGTTCGATCCCC